CATTTTAAGACGAAGCAAAGGATTCTGAGGCTTCACATTGTGTTAGGGAACCATGTCCAAACATATTTTGAAAACCCTGCAGAAAATGAAGAAGCAGGAAGCAAAAGCAAACTGCATCTATAGAGAGCCACAGTAGAAAGGCCAATATGAAACAAATGAAAATAAAATGTTTTCCTTAAAAAAGAATAAGATGAAGGAAGAAAGGAAATCTAAAAATCTTAACTTCCAGTAAATGTTTTAAAAATGCAAATATACCTTTACATATGCATCAGTATTAAAAATAATGCATGCAGGAGCCAACCGGAGCAGCAGCAGCAGCAGCCAAAGGAGGAAAGCAGAATGGCGCAGCGTTGATTATGCATAGAGAGAGGCGTCTGGCTGAAGCCGCCTGCTTGTCACCTGTTCTCCGCGAGCGCTGCAGGCCGGCCGCTTGCCTTCAGCGGCAGAAGCCGATCGGCTGAAATCTTCCCGGCGCTTAGCAGATCTTGATCATTTGGGCTTTTGCTGGCTTTGATTTTTGGGAGGTGGTTGTTGTTGCTGTTTTAGGACGAAAGGCTCGGTTTGGTGAGCTCTGCTTTTTTTTCTCTCCCCCCTCCCGCCCGTTTTTTTAAAAAAGATTGTTCCTTTAATTAAAATCTTCCATGAAAGGAAGCGATCGCTCCGGGAATCTATAGTCTCTTCTTCATGCAGTAGGATTTGCATATTTTTAATGCCCTAATTTCCTTGATGTATGTAAATGGAGCCGGACGTACTGTTAGACTCAAGCTGACGTCAATGGACGTGACCTCGCTGCTAAACCTTGAACGTGAAGCTGGGATGAGAGAGGAGAAGCGAGCAAGCGAACGGGAGAGAGAGAAAGGGAGAGAGAGAGAGAGAGAGAGAAGAGGAAGGGAGGGAGGAGGCGAGGCAGAGCTAGAGCTCGGAATCTGAGGCTGCCGCTGCTGTTGGCACTGGAGGGGCAAGGGCAGCCGGCGAAACCGCCTGGGAGGGGGGTGGGTGGAAAAAACCCAAGAAGAAACTCGAGCTAAGAAAGGAATCTGGAGAAGACACCAACCTATCCAAGATTCTTTATTTGCCTGATGTTGCTCTGCAGCTCTGAACAAGCGATGTGCTGCTCCCTCTAATAAAATAAACATTTGCACCCATTCTCTTATAAGTTGGTAACCCTGCTACAAATGCAATACTTGGAGGGGATCGGGAGGAGAGGGACTATTGCAAGCGGAGCTCTTCATGTCTCCCCCACCCACCCCTCCTCTCCGAAAGTGGGACGCGGCGACGGCGGTTTCTGTCTCCGAAGAGAAGGCATTGCAGAGCCGGACTGTGGCCGCGTAGGTGCCTGCCCGGCCAACGCGCGCCGGCTACCCGCGGCGGTGGCGTGTTCGGGAGCGTGAACGAAAAGCCAATGCTACCCGTGAATGTACGAAGAGGGGGCTGGGGACGAGGATAGCAGCCCTCCAGGCGATATTCTACGCAGGTGGAAGGAGAAGAGAAAGTGAGGGAAGGAAGAGATGAACCAGGCAGGTGCGGACTGAGACTCGCAAACATTCGCCGGCGTACCCGTCGCTTGTTGCTGCGGTCGTCTTTCTCTTTCGGGACGTGTCACCTTTAGGTTCGGTGCTAAGACACTGGGTGTAAATAGATCCAGGATTTCTCCAGTTAACCGCCAAGGATTTTGCCGAAAGGGACCAGAGCTAACGAAACGGGGTGTGGCGCGATAGGGGTAGTGAGAAGGGGCTCTCTTCTTCTGGCCTCCCTCCCACATCTCGCAACACATTTGTAGAGCTGGCTATGCTTGAAGGGATTGGTGAGTTTTCACTCAGGAGCATCCCTGGAGCGTATCCAGCTCTGCTTTCAAAAGAAGTTGGAGACACCCTCCGGTCAGCGTCATCTGCCTCCCTTTCCATCCCTTTGATGTGTCCATGACATCGGTACAAAATTTACCAGCATCGCCTGTAAATTGGGCGCAAAAGAACCCAACGTTCATTTTCCACCTAACGTACTGTATCTCCTTTGCTTCTTTCCTTAATTCAGAATCTAATTATTTATCTGAGTCGTTAGCTTGAGAGAACCTTTAAAATTAAAAGGTAATGGGGATAAATCCTGAATCTGAAGGCAAAACTCGGCCCTTAGTGTCTTTCTCGGTTTCTGCGTCTCTTTCTGTGCAGGTGTTTTTCTCTTGCCCGCCTGCTTTTTCTCTCCCGCCCCCACTCCCAAATAATATAGTCTATCTCTTCCATGCTCGCATCCTTTATAGGCTGGGGCAGAAAGTTCGCAGCCAGGATGCCCTTTTAGAGGTGGGGATGTCTAGAGAAAACCGTGGAAGCCACTATCAGGGGTCAGAGTGCTAATGTCTCCGTGGCTAAATTTGGCGGGAAAGTGGCAGCCAGAGTAGGGAGGTCTGTGGCTCCAAGCGGCGTCTCTCTCCCGCCCAGTCTCTCATTATCAGCTTACCTCTCCTCCCCACCCCCACCTCCACCCACCATCTTTGCATGCGAAAGGTTTATTTGAATATTTTTTTAACAAGGCTCCTCCCAGCCAGCCGCCTCCTTTCCGGCAGGCACACATCTCCAACCCACAGCAATGGACTTCACAGGGTACACCTACAGCTGACCACCATGGGCTCCAAAAGAGAGCTCTACAGAATCACCTAATAGAAGCCAAACGATTTGGCTTTCTTAACAGATCCCGAACTTTTATCGCTTCCAATTCACGCCAACGCGTTGTCACAAGATCTTTGGAGCGCCAAATTCATTATCTGCCCTTGCGTAAAACCCACTACACTCTCCTTTACTCTGACGTTCAAACGGAGCATAGACCCACAAAATCACTGCTGCAGATTTTACACACATTTACAATGTTTGCGTTCGCGAGTACGCCACTTGCCTGGCTGGCTTTCTTTCACTTTCTTTCACTCTTGCTCATTCTGTTTCCACTCTCCGGGTGAGTAGGACAGGTGCCCTCCCAAACCCTCCGAGCAAGAAAGATAGGTGTTATTTGCTTTATCGAAAAAGATTGAACACATCCTACTGTTGTAGAAAGAGGAGAAATAGGACCAATTAAATCCGTCCAAGTTTGGGGACTGGAAACTTGGTCAAGTTAAATTAGCGATTTGTCAGAAAGAACTAATCATAAAAGCTCGGTCATCTCAAAGTAGAAATAAACATGTTTANTTTGTTTTTTTCAAAATAACAGGATGGGGTGGGGGTAGAGAAGGAAGAAGACTTTGTTCTGTGATACCTGCCATTTCAGAAATGCTCATTAGGCAGCCCCACCTGATCAGTCTTTCCATATTCTTCAATATATTGGTGCCCAGCAGCTGGTCAAAACCCTAGTAGTACTTATGGAGCTGTAGATGATAGTATGGCAAAATACAAGCCTTGCAGCTCAGGTATACTCACACAACATAAGATGATGCCATTAACTAGGTTTATCTGTGACAAAGGTCCCACTGTGCATAAATATCAAGATAGGAAGGGCACTTTATTTTAAAAAATGCAGTGTTTTGACTCCATTTGGTTATAAAACATCTTGTTTGGCATACTGGGAACATTTAGACAACATTTTCTTCTACTAATATGGGACGTTCTTCTATCATAATTTTGTTTTGTTTTGCTTTTTCCTGTATGTGACTATATCCAACTTTAGACAATAATTAGACCATTTTTATTTACCTTTTTTAAAACAGTCTATGTTGTAAATGCTTATCCCTTTTCCACAATCTCCCCTATATTTCAGCCTTCAATGAGATTGCTTTGCAGCTCATGGCAGGGAGAGAGATGCCAGTATATACGGGCAATTCCATAAGTATCATGTGAACATGTCAAAAGGGGTGGGTGGGATTAAAGCCAGTTGTGATAAAGAGCTATCGATTAGTGTAGGGCACCAAAGAAGAATATCCTCTAAACAATTGAGATTTCAGATTGTTAGGATACGGTGGTGTGGCGGCAGCAGCAGCAGCAACAGTACAGGTCCAATTCCTCCTATACAAAGGAGAGAAGGAGGGAACGCAGGCATCGTCCTACTGAATTGTCAAAATGTCAATCTTTTATTACCTGGAGCATGATCTAGCCATTTGAGTGCTTTTATTAATTTGAACAGTAAATATATCCTATTGTAAGATTCCTCGTTTCCCTTCTAACCGAGGGGGGGGGGTGTCTTAATGTTTGCACTTTACACTGGGGGGGAGGGGATGTATCCCAAATACGTGGCTACATAATTCATAGGATGATGTCTGCCCCACCCACCCCCAAGCTTCCTTTTTTCACCTTTTCGAAATTAGGAGGTGATCATTGCAAGTCCAACTATTACACAGAATACATTTCCACGCCTGAGGATGGAACATTAATGATTTCCTCCAGTTCTACTCGGGGCACCCTGGCTCTCTTCTTAGCTACGTAGGAAGTTTGAGAAACCAACCCAAGTGCCTTTCCTCCCGCTCCTCGCTTTTTAAGGCCACCTCTATGAATGGAGCGAGGAGGCAGAGGGGGGCTGGCCTGTCCCTCTCTCTCTTCCCCCCCCCCCACCCCACCCGGCCGCATGTTTACCTGTGTTGCATTTCTAAGGTGGGAGGGGTAGAGGCAGGCGAGAGTGGCGCGTCTGTGTGCAAGAGGGATTGGGGGGTGGTGGTGTGCGCGACAGAATAGGTGAAGCCGAGCAAAGAGAAAGCCCGCTGCTTGCAAGCCAGCCCCAATTGCCACCCGAGCTGGCTCCGTTGCACAGGCGCGCCGCGGCGCAATCCTCGCGGAGGCGGCTCGCAGCGCAGCCCCGGAAAGGGAGTCAGAAGTAGAGCCATTTATAAAAGCGCGAGAGAGGCAGCAGGCAGGCAGGCAGGCGAGCGCTCTTGTGCAGTGACATCGGACTCGCTGCGTAATGCAGCGCCAATTCCCAATCCCTGAAATGCAGGCCCAAGGACAGCCCCGTTCAGTCCCGCATCTCTTCTCCGTGCACAGCACACGCAGAGTCGTATCAGAGGAGAAATGCAGGCAAAAGGCTCTTCTCTTCNTTGGAAGACTTTTGAAACTGTTTCGTGTGCATTAACAGGAAGTTTGGGGCTGCTCGGCTACTCTTTTTGCTTTGTTTTTCTTGCCTGGCGAAGATTCCACAACATCCACTGGAACCAGACCTCCCCCTCTTTTTTTTCCCTTTTCTTTTTAAAGAAAACAAAACAAAGCTCTTCGTTCCTCCTTTCTGACCTCTCCCTCCTCCTCCTCTTCCTCCTGCGCTGCCCTGTTTGGAAAGAGAAGAAACCTGAAAAGTAAGTAGTCCTGCCGACTTGCCGTCTTTATCTGGGCAGAGCTGGGAGTAGGGCGAGTGAGGAAAACACTTTGTAAGAACTTCGTGCCGCAGATGTTCCTCTGATTCACGAGAAGTGGCTTCTCTGAACGTGAACTCCCCATGTGTCATGTTTCGGGGCAGAGAGATGTTTCCCTTAAACAGGTTGTATGGTTAGCCTTCCCGTTAACTCCATTCACTGGAGAGTGGGACGAAGTCTTAGCAGAAGTGGTGAGATTTATGAATTAACTTGAAAACTGGTAATTGATGGATGATTTTGAACTTGTGCTGTTGAAGCCTGCTGGCCGATGCTTGGGATGAGGGGTCTGTTAATTAGCATACAAAATGATTTCAAGTTGGGGAGTAGGAACAGCAAACTGGGACAGGAATATTTGGCCATAGAAATATTGGTGTATATTGATTTGCTATATAAGACTGGACTGAAGTTTATAGTAATACCTTAAAGATCTTGTTTGACTATTGTGGTTCTGACTTTTGAGTTAATGGCAGAAATATTACAAAGAGGAAAGGCTATTATCAAACTTGTTATAATTTTTAGCTACTATTTAAAAGTACTATATCGATTGATGGAAATCTATGCCACAAAATTCCTAATAAGAAAACCAGTCTTACCTGAGCACTTCAACAATGCAGGATAGAATGCAGACAGATCTTGAATATACCCATCCAGGCACTTACAAAATAGCAGATGCATGACAATGTGCAATTGTCATCTTCTGTGCATGTTGGCCAAGCTGTTTTCATTGGTATTGTTTGTAGCTGTGCTTTTACGTGTAACTTCAAGGTTCAGCAGTCCATCTCCTCCTCTTGAAGCACATTGCTTATATTAGCTCTGAATGAGACTGCCAACTCAGGTTGTTGGCTCAGGAATGCCTACATGTGTTTTCTACCCATAAGCTCAGAAAGATGTATAATAAGTTTATAAGGTAATTAAGCTCATATAATTGTTTTTAGTTGACTTGAACTGATAAAATTGCTTGAATTAAGTCATCTCCACTGGGAATGGGTTCCACATCAACCTGAACCTCAAAGGAATCACTCCAAACAGAGCATCAGTGTGTCAGATTTTCCAAATATTGAAGGTTACAAACAGGTTGATGCTGAGGGAGCAGAAGGTGGTCTCTGTAATTTCTCTCTGGACAGTCAAGTCTCTTCCTATCTTGAAGAAGGCTTATAACCACTGCCAGATTTTGTGCTACATAAGGAAGCCATATCTGTATACAGTACGGTACTGTACTTATGCAATAGGATTCATTTTCTAACTTAAAGAGAAGGCTGAAATGAAATGTCAGTGTTCATGGACAAAAGGAAAATGGTCAGGTTAAAAAGATGGTGTTTTTTTTTTTTAAAAAAATAGAATTGCCATTGCTTAGGTCTAATTTATTAATAATAGAGTTCTATGAGTAAAAGAATAAAAGTGAACTGTAGTCTTTGAAGGGCATATAAATGAAAAGCACAAACACTACATTTTGTCATAAGGTAATTGGGACATGTCTCTGTCTCTTTAAAGTCAAAACGCCTTCCATAAAAAATAGAAACGTGGGGTCTCTCATAAGCTTAGAAAACCTGAGTGAACTCATTTTGCATATTTTGAAAGTGGTGGCTAGGTGGAGCCTCCAGCCTTTTTTCAAGAAAGACCTGCCTTCAACCTGTAAATGTAGGTTCTTTGGCCTTTCCAGCTGACCATTCCACAGAATCCAAGCATTTTCATAATCTAAATCATTTGATCCTCAATTTCTGAGCTTTACATCCCAGTTGAAGAGTTTACTGTTGAAGATTTGTTTTATGTTCGAAATGAAACACTTAACTCTTCAGGTACCAAAATACAAAACAGCACATATGCATACCCCCCCCCCTTTTACTGTACAAAAGATGGATATCTTAAGTAAATGCTAGTTTTTGTTTTGGTTACCAGATAAGAGCCATGAAACACACTGTAGCGGGAAATTGTTTTGTCCAAAATCTATGAAAATACACAGGACCATTTTAGGACATCAGGGTAATAATCTTGTCCAGCTCATTAATTTCCACTGAAGATGTGCAAGAACAATTCCTGGTGCTTTTTTCTCACAGACATAGTCAATTGGTTGGTATAATTTTGTCTCTGTTATTATGATGGTCTTGAATATAGATTTTTTTTTAAAAAGCTAATATTTTTCCTTTAAATTTACATTTTCTTCAGTGCATTTTAAAGTTGTTTTTGTTTTGTAATGACTATTCCCTTCTTTCTCTTTTTTTCTTTTAATCTAATTTTAGAGACAGACTTCCAGAGATAATCACATGGAATGACAATCACACAAAAAGGTAATTTCTTTTTAAAATAGCAAGTTTAAATTTCTGCAAGTATCTGTATCCCTGCAATTAGCAACAGAAAGAGGAAAATATTTGCTTCTTAGAGATGTTTTACAAATGGCATTTGTCGCAACTATTATATATTAATTTTCAGCCCCACACGTGCAGCCTGCTATTATGTATCAGGAAATAATAGGAATACGTGGGATCCGCTAGAGAAGAAAGAGCAGAATCAGCAATCACATAAATAGTAGAACTGTGTTTTTTCTTTGTTTATTATTTTTAAAGTCGTTACAGTGAAACTTCAGATATGTAAATATAGATAATGCTGTGGCTTTGAGAAAGAATCTAATATGAACTTGGCATTTAGTAGGGAAGGGGTGAAAAAGGCCATCAGTCTTGTAACTATAATGCAGCTTGAAAGCAGCAGAAACAGATTTTTCCACCATTCCTGCAGAGGAGTTTGTCCAGATCACTGAATGTTGGTTCTCCAAGGGGGAGCTGACGAAACAGCTTTCTTATAAGAAGGCTTGTTTGTTCCAAAGAAGCTTTGATGGGTGTTTTGCTTTTATGCCAATATGTTCTGGACATCTATAAAGAGATTAGAAAACAAGTGAACAAAACAATCACATCTGAATCACCAAGCTATTAAGAGAATTTTACTGGAGAGATGGACAGGCACATGTTGCTATGATTCTTAGCATGCAATTTCTTTCAACAATGCTGGTTGGTTTTAAATGACCATGTCACTATTTTCAGTGAGTTTTAAAATATATATATATATATATATATGATAGAGGTCGTAAAACTTTCCAGCACTTCTCATAATAGTAACAATTTCATCAATGTATGGCAAGTAGATTCGTGATGTCAAAGGCATCATGTCTAAGGCTCATCCTTTCCCTTGTTTTTATAGCTGAAAAAGAAAAGTAAAATGCATGTACAAATAAGTATTCAACATCAAAGAAACAACATGTATTTATTTTGACTTACACCTATGTCCTCTTTGGCCATTTTGCTAAACACTGACTTCATGGTAAATTTGAATAAAATAGAAATGCTATTAGCTTTGTGAAGGTATTTTAGATCTGTTGCCAACTAAGACACAGGAAACACTTTTATCAGCAAGTTCATACTTGTGAAGTTAGCTGCTTTCACACCATGAGGACTAGGATCACATAGGACACTTTGCAGAACAATATAGGTGAAGAAAAGCAATATCTTGATCTCCAGTAATAGGAGAGTTGCTCTCATACAAATGCCAACAAAATCAGGAAAGAGTATAGATGCAGGAACAGAATAGTTCCCACCCAGCCCCACTTGTGAATGTAGTGGATCAGAAAGGAAAGTCAAATAGTAAAACTAGAAATGTCTCTTGAACTAATATCATTTTAAATATAATTAGTTCTTTATGTATACACACTTTGATATGCTGATTTCAATGCCACACCCATATAAACCTAAGATCAGAGAGTCACATGTTAGCTGACTATATTCCCATTCCCCTCCCCACCATTTTCCAAATCTGGTCTGTGTAATACAGTACATGCCTAATCATTCTCTCTCTCTATCTCTCTCTCTC